TCCCGGCGCTGGGAAAGTTCTGCTCCGCCATCCCAATGAGAGCCGTCGTGCCTTGAGTTGCACGGTGGGACATAAATCTCCCCCTGCTGCAAAGGCTGCACGGAGCCACCCTCAAAGCCATGGGATTTTTTTCCTGGTGAGGAATGACAACCTGGTGAAAAGGGGGAGCGAACACCCTGTGCCCCCCCGGGCAGCAGCGTGGGAAGGGCGGCAGCACCTTGTTCCCTGTCCTGTCCCCGCTTTCTGCCCCATCACTGCATCGCCCCTCTCCTCAGATCCCCATCCAGCCTGACCCTCAACACTTCAGGACAACGCCTGGCCCCGGGCACCATCCGGCTTTGGCTTTAGGGCTGGTCTGAACCTGGGCAAGATGCTCAGAGCCTTTCCGGGGCCGCTTTCCACACTTCTTGGTGCGAGTGAAGAAGTGCAGCGCTTTTACCTTTGTCTGTGTGCGAAAGGCCCGTCCCGCCGCAGCCTCCCCTCCCTCTCCCCGTGAGAACAGCCGGTGACAGAAAGTTCCACAAGTCACAGGAGCAAAAAAGCTTCGGGGAAGTACATTTCTCTCTTAAGGGCTGCAAGTTCAACCAGAAAATAGTACTTCTGATTAAATGTTGTGGATAAAGCAGCCCAGTTAAAAACGCACCCACTAACAGATCCGCGCATCTGAATTTCTAACGAGAAATATTTACTTTGATTTGTCACTGTAGTTTTTGAAACAGGTTGTTCTAGCACAGCAGAAGAAATAAAACAAAGCAGAAGCAAAACAAAACGAAACACAGCAAGAGACAAATGAACCCCTGCAGGCTGCTGGCAGCTCCTTCTCTGCCCTCCCCTCCAAGGCTAGAGATGGAGAGATGGAGCGAAGGAAACGCACAAAACGCTGTTTGCTTGTTCTGCTCTGCAGGAGAAATACAAGAAGAGAGGTTCAGATCCACTTCCAGATTTGTTGCAGAGAAGGACTGCACCCAAAAGCACGGTGGTTTATCTTTTTTTATTGTATTGTATTGTATTGTATTGTATTGTATTGTATTTTATTTTATTTTATTTTATTTTATTTTTTAAGGCATAAAGCCAAACCCCAGCAGAGTTTCCTCTAAGAAAGAAGCAAGCATTAGTTAAGGCATCTAGAATGCCCGTGCCTCCCTTGGCATGCATGACTATGTATTTTGTGCTCCAAGTTCCTCAAAAAAACCTTTCCTTTAGGTTTGGGAAACTGCTAAGTCTTTTTTTTGTCACAGTCTCACCTATAAAATCCAAGAGATACTGGACACACAAAAAATTCTGCAAACAAATTTCCTGCTCTACACTTGAACATGGAACATCCTCATGTGGAAAATGTCTACCTGGTCTAGGGGAAGGTGCCCCTGCTCATGACAGCAGTGTTGGAACTAGATGATCTTTAAGGTCCCTTCCAACCCAAACCACTCTATGAGTCTATGAAAATGGGAAACCAGGGGAGGGCTGGGGCTCATGCTTATGCCTGCACAGCTCCTGGACATCAAATCACTTTCTGGTTGCCCTCAGTGCCGTCCTAGTCAAGGAGAGTACTGAAATGGGAGCACGTTGCCATTTCATATCAAACCTGGTTCCACTCCCTTGAGCTAGGCCAGTGAAAGCTGGCTGCTCCCAGCTTGCTGTGTGAGTTTCAGCAGTTTGCTCCTCCACATCTCTCAACCTGCCCAGCTGTCACTAAAGCAAGAGAGACTGGAGGGCATTTAGTCTCTTGCCACGACTGCACACTGAAAAGCACACACTGGGCACAGAGATTACACAGGCTAATGTCTGGGAGGGGCATAAGAGGAAGAAAAACCAACTTTGAAATAGCTAGCCTTTGTGCTGGGGGAAAGAAAAAAACAAACCAAACACACCAAAAAACAAGTAAAACCTCCTTGTTGATACCACTGATTCAGGATTGGACTTGTTGTGTAAGTCCAGCTCTACACCAGCAAAGTATTTAAGCAGAGTAGTGTAAACACATGCCTATATTTCATTAGCAGTAGATTTAAGTCAACATATGTCTACATGAAGTCAAGCCATAAAGAGTGAGTCAGGGTCTAAATCAGCGTTGTAAGGAAACCAAAATAATCTAAGCTTTATCCAAATGCACATAGCTTTAACCTGTCACATCAAATGAAAATTATATACTTAAACTATAATCTTCCTGTTCCCTTAGTCATCAAAAGAGGCTCAATCAAATTCTAGAACAAATTAAAAAAATAGAGTATAGATGCTGCTTAGGAGAAGGTGGGGCTTACAGAGCAGGATATTTGGCTTGAACCAAGGGGTATTTCTGCCTTCCAAACCAGAGTGACCCCCAAACTCAGCTCCCTCAGCACCCCTATCCACCTCGCTCCTTCCTCCTTCAAGCAGGAATCTGGCAGCTTGAAGCACTGATTGCGTTGGTGGCTCTACGTTGTCAACTCTCCTGACAAGTAACATTGGTTGGATGTGGCCTCGCTAAGTGACAGTTAATATTTCCAAATAAGAACTTGTTCAAATATAAGGCAGGCAGAGATAAGGTCAGACTGCAAATACCCATCAAAAGATGTCATTGTTTGGTTTGGGTTTAAGTTTGCTGCATTTTGTTTGGTAGCACTATGAAAAATGTGAATAAGAGCTCTGTCCTTGGATTTTTCTGAATGCATGTGCTGACAAGACAGCTGCAGGGGAAGGCAGAGAAGCACTTGCAGCTGAAGAGGGTAAGTGATTTACAAGCTGCTTACTTGGTGTAGGCACAGGATGTTTTAAGGGCTTTATTACCTGACTGCATTGGAAGTGTCAAGGCTATTCACTTTAATGTAATATTTTATCAAATTTTCATGCAGAAGTTTTCAGGATTCTTCTACGCAGAATCTACATTCAGATTTATTTCAGTCAGGAGGAGGACTTGTTGAAATGACAGCATCATCCCTTCAATGGTCGCAGTTTGTGCTATAAAGACATTAATAGCAGTGCAGATTAATCTGGTATTAGGAAAATAGTTACCAATGAAACATATCTCTATAGTAGCAAAACGGCTTCTACCCCCACATTTACAGTGTTATCACTCTACCAATGTAAAACCTTGTCTTTGGCAGACAGTGCAAGCTCCATTGGTAAACCAGGCACACCAGATAACTCGCTGAGCTTGAGACTCTATCTGTAAGACAGGATGCCTGCTGGGGGGGAGGTGGGAATACAGCTCGCTTAATTATAACAGAATATGTGAAGTTCTACAATAACTTGTGCAAACAAGGCTTAAATACCTCTGAGGATCAGCAGCTAACAAATTACATGGTTGGTCAATGTTCCATACTATTCTCCATGGCCAACTCCCATGCTGGTCAGTGCTCCTGGGGCTGCATCTTGCCCTACTTTAATCCCTTGTAGCACAGAAGGGTTTTTCCTTCTGACCTGCCACCCACCCTGTGTCCTGTGTTTCTTCCTTACCCTACCCTACCGTGCCCTAACCTAACCTACTTGTCTGTTGAGCTTGGTTAAATCAGCAGGTGAGGATTTAAGCTGTGTGTAGGTAAACTTACTAGCATTTTCTTTAAATCTAGACACACTTGTCTAACCACTGCCTAAAGAGCAAAGGAAGCCAGATTTGCCTGTCTTCATGTCCAGTTTCCACTCAGGTCTGCAGGGCACTGATGGGCACGGCTGCTCCTGGGCACACGTGGTGGCACATGGAGAGGGTGGGGACAGGGACAGGGGTGGGGGGGCAGGGAGGCAAAAGACTGTTTCCTC